TGTTTCCTGTGTAGTGTGTATTTATTATGGGCAACTTTCTCCTTTGGCTTCTTTGATAAAGCTTTTTCTTGGGGTTCTTCCTACTTCTCTGTCTTCCCCTTCTTAGTCACTTTTGTGGCCTCTTTTTTTTTTTTTTTTTTTTTTTTTTTTTTTTTTTTTTTTTTTTAATCCTCACAATAGTGGTATTCAGTTAGGTCTTCTACATAGGGTTCACACTTAGGCTCACCCATGGGTGATACCATCAGTCTTATGACTTACGTTATCAATAATATTCTGATAACCCCCAAGTCTCTCTCTTTAGCTAAGAATTAAAATAAAACAAAACATACTTGTGGCCGTATGTTTTTCAAATGAATCCTATCATCATTTCTTTCCCTCGCCCCTCAAATTAACACAACTTCCTGATGCTGGCAGGACGAGTCTGGGGGCCCAGAGGGTCCCTGGCTGCCCGGCATCCAAGTCAAACGTGAGCCGGCAGGAGGGACGGCAGAGTTTTGAAGCTACAGACAGTAGGCAGGTGCAGGCACAGTGTCTGGGAGACTCAGAAAGGAAAGGAGAGGGCATCCCGTCTTTGTTCGGGGCCGAGGGGTTGTTACTGAGGATTGTGGTCTGGTGCACGTGCCCTGTCAGGCATGGGGCAGCAGGTTGGAGCAAAGACCGGGCCCGGGTGTTACTCCCCAGAGCAGCGGCTATGGTCTGGGGTACGCGTAGATGGCTTCCTCTGGTCGTTCTCCCCCGGTCCTTCCTTCCGTGTGACCTGTTCTGAGAAGTCCCTGACTCCTTGTCCCCTACGAGGAGGACGTACACTGCATGCTGAGGCTTGTGGAGAGAGGGGGTGCAGGTCCTAGCAGGAACAGGAGCGGGAAGAGGAACAGAAAGCGGGGTTTCACGGGTCTTCAGCGTCTCTGTCTCGTTCCTCGACGTCCCATTTCTGAGAATGAACAGACTTCTCGACCCACTTGCTCTGCAGAGAAGCCCGTTTGTTGCTTTTAAAAAGTGACGGACGTCGGGTAACACGCAGTTAGCTGTTGTGAGGTTCAGTGTCCTCGGCGTGCTCGCAGTGCTGGCGCAGGCCGCGTCTCTCTAGCTCAGAACGGTGCTTGTGCCCCGCGAACGCCCCTCGCGCACACCCCCTGCCCCCCCTCCCCCGCCCCCATTCTGTTGTCTCTGTGGACCTGCCGTCTCTGCCCTCGGAGCCGCGTCCAGTACGTGACCCTGGGTGTCTTGGGGTATTCGACGACTCTGTGTTTAACTCTCTGAGGGGTTCTGTGTCGTTTTTGACATGTTATTTCATTCCCCACGTCACCAAATTGGGTTGATTGATTCTTTCTGCTAAAAGCCCTGTTTTCCATCGTTATTCCTGCCGGCATCTCCCGGCACACTTTCCAGGGTTACTTTTGTGATTTGCTTTTTGTTTGGTTTCTTCGTCACCACTACAGCCTTATTCTGGGTCATCTTTCACACTTGGCACCATTCGTTTTTGAAAATGTGAATCTTATGGTCACTTCATTGTTTTAAAAACAAAACACACACCTCCTAATGCCTGCCTTTGCCCTCTGGCTCCAGGGCCCACGAGACCCTTCGCTGCCTAGCCTCCGACCTTCTTCTGCTCCCCGTCTGCCCCCCTTTGCTGTAGCCGTCTACCCACCTCTGGGTGTGTACGGGCCCCCCTGTCTCAGCCTGCAGCCTGTGTCCCATTCGAGATGTCTCCTCTCCTTTTTGAAGCCTTTTCTGTATCTTCACGATGACCACGTGTCCTCCCTGCCCCGCCTAGTGACTGTGCCAGTCAGGCACACCTGCTGTGATCTGCTGTGCCCGCTTACCTCCGTGGGAAGCAGGGGCTGGCGGTCGAGCGACAGGCGACGTAGTGCCGACTAAAAGTAGCATTACTGGGAACTTAGCAGAAGCCGGAAGAAGATTATTTGCTAAATTATTTAGGGAAGGCCTGGTGGAAGAAGGCAGCATTCGTAAAGGTGTGTGACAGAGCCTGTCAAATACCCATGGGTCTGGGTCCTGGAGGCCCACACTAGGGGCAGAAGCCAGGCCAGAAGTGAGACAGTGGTCCTCTTCGCCGTTGCTTCAGCCTTACTCACCTGAGACAGACAGTGGACATAACCGCTCCTGTAGAAGAAAAGCGCGGAGAGAGCGTGCAGAAGAGTTTTAGAAATTGTGATGCATTGACCGGAGTGAGAAGCAGTGATGTACTTCATGGGACCCGAAAGCAAAGTCTCAAGGGTAATTTTGACCACAGATGCTGACTTCAGAGCTTACCCACCTCCATTTATAAAACATGGAAAATGCAGCAAGAGTATGGTTTCTGGATAAACTGTAGAATCTTCCACAAGACTTGAAAACAGTGTTGAAGAAAATGGTCTGAGAAATACAGTGTTTGTCCAGGAAAAGACCGTGACTGCCCTTACCTCAGACTGTCCCCCCCCCGCCCCCCAGCGGTCACTGCCCCAGCATGTCTGCAACAGTGTGGACGCTGAGTGAGTGCTCACACACACAAACAAAATGCAGTTCCTGCCTCAGGCCTCTCCATTTTCAGTATCTTTCTTAAAAAAAAAAAAGCCTTAGGGGCGCCTGGGTGGCTCAGTTGGTTGAGCGGCCGACTTCAGCTCAGGTCACGATCTCATGGTCCGTGAGTTTGAGCCCCGCGTCAGGCTCTGGGCTGATGGCTCAGAGCCTGGAGCCTGCTTCCGATTCTGTCTCCCTCTCTCTCTGCCCCTCCCCCATTGATGCTCTGTCTCTCTCTGTCTCAAAAATAAATAAATGTTAAAAAAAAAAATTAAAAAAAAAAGCCTTAAAATAGCTGTTTAAAAGTAAATGTACAGGGTCTCCTGGTGGCTCAGTCTGTTGAGCGTCCAACTTTGGCTCAGGGCATGATCTCACAGCTTGTGGGTTCGAGCTACACGTCGGGCTCTGTGCTGACAGCTTGGAGCCTGGAGCCCTCTTCAGACTCTGTGTCTCCCTCTCTCTCTGCCCCTCCCCTGCTTGCACTCTGCCTCTCTTGTCTCTCTCAAAAGTAAATAAACGTTAGGGGCGCCTGGGTGGCGCAGTCGGTTAAGCGTCCGACTTCAGCCAGGTCACGATCTCGCGGTCCGGGAGTTCGAGCCCCGCGTCAGGCTCTGGGCTGATGGCTCGGAGCCTGGAGCCTGTTTCCGATTCTGTGTCTCCCTCTCTCTCTGCCCCTCCCCTGTTCATGCTCTGTCTCTGTCTGTCCCAAAAATAAATAAACGTTGAAAAAATAAATAAACGTTAAAAAAAAATTTTTTTTTAAAGTAAGCATACATTTCTTTGGTTTGAGATATAGTACGATTTAAAACTTTAGATAAGTCTACTTGGCCTTTTAGGCAAAAATTTAGGCTTATGAAAAAATCTTTCAAATTTTGAGTAAATAATTGTTTTTAGAGAGGGTGAGAGTGACTGAGCTCGTGTGTGTGGGGAAGGTGCAGAGGGAGCGAGAATCTTAAGGAGGCCCCATGCTCAGCGTAGAGTTCAGCACAAAACTCAGTCCTACGACCCTGGGATCATGACCTAAGCCGAAATCAGGAGTCAGATGCCCAACTGACTGAGCCACCCAGGCACGCTACCCCTCCCCTCCCCCCCTTTTAAAGTAGGCTTCATGCCCAGCATGGAGCCCCGTGCAGGGCTTGAACTCATGACCCTGAGATCAAGACCTGCGCTGAGATCAAGAGTTGGGCACTGAATCTATTGGGCTACCCAGGTGCCTCCATTCATATTTAAATATAAATAAAATGTGACTTTTGGCTCTGTGTTTCACTGGTGCGTTGGGGTGTTAGATCCTAGCTGTTGAAATAACACCACCTCCTTAATTCCTTCACAATTTGAGGTCTTGGTTACTGACACACTGTTCAGTCTCGTGTATAGCATTCTGGTTGTATTACGCTTTCTTTTACCATCAGGCTGAACTCTTGAGTCTGATGGCAGAACACCTGTTCAGGCCCCCAGCACATCCCTTCCCACCTGTTCTCTCACGAGGGCTTGGCTGCCACTTCTCAGAGCCAGTCCGTGCTCCCCGTCTGAGCTCTCCATTGGTGATTTCTATATACAGTGTATGTGGATATTTACTGCCAGGATTGTGTTGACTGCTTCATAGGCATGTAGGTGTATCAGTGTGTGTCAAATTTTACAATTTATGAATGTGCATTCCTATCGAATGTCAGTTATACCTCGTTAAAGCTGTTGAAAATTCGTACATAATATATACCATCAGTAGGTCATTATGAAGCCCGGTGTCTCCAGGAACCATCAGACTGTGGATTCCTCCTCACTTGGCCCACTAAGTTCCCTTCTTGGCCTGCGTCCTCTGGCCTCCCTAGTCCTTCGCTTCCGTCATCCTCTCTCCAGGCCAGAGCACTCTTTCTGGAAGAGAAGAATCTCACAATGCCACTGCCATTTCTGTAGGGCCCCAGCTCTTGTTGTGAGACCACTCCTCTGTGCCAGAAGTTCTGGCTTGCCAAAGGGGTGACACAAACCAGACACGTGGGGTCTTTGCTCTTTGCATGCTGAGTCTGCTGGGCCACAGGAATGGTGTACATGAGGGTTGGCTAAGCTCAGGGATTCCAGTGAACCGGGTGAGGTCCTCTGTTGGTGCTTCTAATAGGGCACCCTAAAGACCACAGTGGAAGCCTGATTCGACTTCCCCCTGAGCCGGGATCCGTGAGGGTGGGCCTGGATGCCTGTGTCTTTACAAGTTCTGTCTACCACTGTAGGGTTACCTAGAGGGTGAGAACCTAGCTGGAGTCCAGGGCGGGAATAAGAGGTTTGGAAGGGGGTCATGTTTGCTTCCCTGTGGGCCTCCTTGTGCTACAGAAATGGAAACGTTTTGGCCGTCAGGTAGCATTTTGCTGATGGATCCACGTATATCTGTCGAATAGCGTAGAATTTATAACATGGTATTAACGTTCTGTAATTTATCTGTTGGGTGAAAGTTATGTGCTTAAAAGTTTTGATCAGTTTTTTTTCTTCCCCCACAGAACTCAACAAAAATCCAGTGGAAGGCTTTTCAGCAGGTTTAATAGATGACAATGACCTTTACCGATGGGAAGTCCTTATCATTGGTCCCCCTGACACACTTTAGTAAGTACCATGGAACTGACACTAAAATAGCTCTCTTAATTGAAGTATAAACTGTTTTGGCAAACCGAAGTGAAATTGTTTAGATCAGATGGAGTGGCTGTGGTTAGGTGCGCTTGTTTGTATCAAGTGAGCATGTGTAGGACTCACGTGTTCTGCCTGAAACTCTAGTGGCTAAAACCTGCTGCTTTCTTAAATAGATAATAGTTTCTGAAATGTAGATGTTTTTAATACCTGGAATAAATTTATTACAGAAAAGCTATTTTTAAGGTAAAGCCTCTTTTACATCATGTATTTTTTACTTGTTTCTCAGATACATTGGGTTAATATTGGGAGGATAGGAGAAAGAAGAGAATTCTTGACTGAAATGTTTCTGCCTCTTCCTACTGTGCCTCACCCCCAAAGGGAACCCCGTAATTTCAGAGATCAGGCTTTCCCACCCTCAGCACTTTGTCCGTTTGATTCCAGTGTTGTGTTAACCTGGGAGATTTCCTTTCAGGACACAGGTCACACATCAGCGTCTTCACGTGGGAGAGAACTTTCAAAGTCATCGGTTTAGTGACTCTTCAGTTGGGTCCCCCCAGAAAACTGACCAGCGCCAAGATGTGTTGACCCTGAAATGAACCAGTGTTTACCTTTTCTCACTTTATAAAAGCGATTGTTACAGCTAATCACTTTTAGTTACTCCTTATTAACAAATGTCAGTTAGAAAACAGAATGTAGTGGTATGAAAAAAATAACGGAAAAGGAGATGAGATTTCTTAAATATTTTATGGCCTACATTTTATTTTAAGATGTTTTCTTAATGTTTATTTTTGAGAGAGAGACAGTGTGAGTGGGGGAGGGGCAGAGAGAGAGGGAGACACAGAATCCGAAGAGGCTCCAGGCCCCGAACTGGCAGCACAGAGCCCGACGCAGGGCTCGAACCCTCGAACCGTGAGATCATGACCTGAGGTGAAGTCAGATGCTTAACTGACTGAGCCACCCAGACGCCCCTTCTGTCCTACATTTTAGATTCAAAGACCACAGTCTTACTTTCTGCTCTGAATGTTTGCAGACTAACTTAAAGCTACTAATATTTAATGTTTGGTTTTTTTTTTTTTTTAACAGCAGGTAAAAGTTTATTAGAGTATAAGATCAGAAAGGAAGAATAGTACGAAAGCTCTCTTTACAGAGAGGGGACATTTGAAAGTGAATGCCCATGACTGTAGGCAAGGGTCCTTGTTTTTTAAGGTTCTGGTTGTCCCGCCCCTTCCCCCTGGCTCCTCCTTGGCTTAATAGCACTAGGTGCTGGGTCATTTCCATCATGTGAGGTGTGGTCTGTGTTCACACTTAGGTCTTTTGTGAAATTCCTGAGTCCAACCTGAGGGGAGTAGGCGGGGTCTGTTACATTCTTAGGAACCTTACCCCTGGGGTGGGGAGGGTTTGCTGTTGTCACGCACTCCCAGCGTTATTCCAAAATCTGTCTTTCCCCACCCAGGACCTCAGGTCCTACCCTTTCTCTCTCTGCCTCTCTTACCGTATCTTTTTCTACCATAGTCTTCCCACTGAACACATGACTTCTAACTGCATTAGGAATCGGGGCAATGACTGATCTTAACTCCCTCCTGCTGAAAGGAGGCATTGAGGGGCAGGTTCCGAGGTTGATCCAGAGGTCCGAGGTAACGGGAGGGTGTTTGGAACATCTGGGCTAGCAGAATTTTCTTGGAGGTCTTATTTTTCTGGCATATCATCGGCTTCTACAAATGACATACATAGAGTATTAGACTAACAAGCATTAATATTCCGAACGCAATGCCTCCTAGGGAGGAGACCACACCATGGAAAGGAAAGATG